CGATTCCCCGTCATCACTCGTGCCCAGCGCGCGCGGGCCAACTCGCCAAAATCGCGGTTTCGCCAAGCGGTCGTATTCACACCTCCCTCTGAATCTCCCCGGCCCTACTCGATATTTCGCACCTTCACCGTGAGGAAGTAGTCCCGATGCCAGGGGGCGAGTTCGGTGAGGTTCCCGAACCCCCACTGGTGTCGAAGGGGCACCGCGAAATCGTAGCCGGAGCGGTAGAAGCAGGAACGCATGTTCGAGGACGCGTCCATGGCGGCGCTTCCCGCTATCAACGGCTTCTTGTCACTTTGAAAAACACGCACACAAGAAATGGGAGGGACGGGGCGGGATGGTGAAGGTGTTTGAGGTCGGCGGGCGTTGGGTGAAGAGGGCAAACGAGCAGGCCGACCGTGTAGACAATAGCTCTCGCCAAAGCAGCAAGTACGCGAGGGAGTCGGCTCTCTCGTCAAAAATTGTAGATACTTCTGTTGTAGCTGCTGCACATGCAGGCAAAGCTGCGGGCGTGTCAAATTGACGACATTCCTTCGTCAGTTGCCGCCGCCCGAGCGCAGGATCCAAACGTCGCCGTCCGTGCGGAGTTAAGCTTAAGTGGGATTGCGGCTGCAATAGCATTCGCGCAGAGGCAGTAGCAGCATCAGAAGTCGCGAGAAACCAGCGGCAGCCTAGTCGTCACCGCCGCTGCTTCCTACACACACAACGCTTGTATACGAATCAGCCGCGCTTCCTTCGTGCCGCGACACACCTACCGGCACACCTCCGCGCGCAGGTGTTCGTCCGCTATGGCGGCGTCGATCAAAAACTAGTTGCAGCTGGCAGTGTGCAACGCTGCTGCTGCTGCAACACCCACCGGGTGCGGTCGGTTAGGTCCACCATGACATGGTTCTTTCCCCCGTTCCACAGCGGCTTCTCCGCGGGGCAGGGCACGTGGTTCAGGCGCTTGTTGACGTGCAGGAACAGGCAGGCGTCACGGTAGGTCTCGGAGAGCACCCCGGCGTCTCTGGCCGCCTCCCTCCACGTGTGACTGAGCATCAGGCTCTCGTTGCTGGGGGGCAGCGCCGAGCTGTCGGCGAGCGAGCACGTAGCGTCGAAGACGTAGATGGACGGCTTCGACGGCGCTCCTCCGGACGCGTGAGGCCGGCAGCGGCTGTGGTCGAAGCACGGCTCCGCCAGCGGTGCGCCGCACGCCATGCTCGGGGCCACGGCGGCCATGTCGATCGAGGAGCAGCGGCTTCCGCGGGTGGGCATTCCCTTCCACCCGGGCGCGAACGCGGTGTCGACGGGGCGGACGTCCTCCTTGTTGTCCCCGAGCGCTTCGGCGGCTTCTACCACGGCTGCCGCCGCCACCTTGCTCTCTTGGTGTTGCTGCTTCTGCTGGTCGGCAGCTGCTGTGCTGTTTCGGCGGAGGGCCTCGAGGCGGAGGTTCATGATGTCGGCGCCCGTCAGGTAGTCCCAGACCTCCGGCGGCCGCGGGACCGGCTCCATGCGATCTGGGATGGGATACCGGTCGTCGTTCAACCCCGGGTCATCGTTATCGCCGCCCCAGCGAAGAAGAAGCACGCTGCCCTTGCTCTTGCTGCCACCCCGAGGTTGCGCCGCATTTCGATCGAACTCTGCGAATCCCAATGACCAAGCGCACCCTAGCAGCACGCATGGGGCCGCCCACAGGAGGTGCAGAGCGCGGCGCCTGCTTAGCTTCACCAGCGCCGTCGTGACACGATCCCGGCACGACAGTCGCGGGAAGAAGAACGGCATGTCGTAGTTTCACCCAACTAGGCACGGAGGCGGTGGGCAGGCTGGGTCTGAAGGCACTGCTGCAGCTGGTGTGTGGGGCTGGGGCCGGGGCTGGCTTTTTTTTCCGAAATGATCTGCCGAAAGCGAGAGAGGGGTGCTTTTCCGAAGAATATCCGCGAAGTCCCTCTGTCTTGGGTGCTTACCCTCATGCGTCTCTGTACATACGCCAAAGGCTGAGAGGCTCGGGCAGTGCCACGCACTCAGCCGATATCGCAGCTTTGATGTCGACTCCACAAGCACGGCAGGGATCGTCTTATACTAGCAACGGATACGGTTCTACGAAGATGTCTGCTGTGAGTTGTGTAGAAACAAGTTGGTGACGGAAGTTGATCTTGTCTTGCGCAGACATTTACTGACACACCGCTTTGATTTGACTAGGTTGTTGACTAGGTTGTTTTAGACTAGAAGTACATATGCATAGATACCGTGTAGCATTCGTTAGTCTGCTGCTGTAGCACGTACCGCAGAAGTAGCTAGTGAATTCACGGCCTCCGCCCCCCATGGTTCGGGAGTGACGGGGCAATGCACGTGATTGTTCGTGTTCCCGGCCGTACAATGCTGTTGTTGCATTGCTGGTACAAGGCAAGGAAGCGTACTATGAACTGCAACATGTGCTGGAGCTTTGTAAACAGACTGAGTCCAACTGCTGCACGTGTAGAACTAACTACCTGCGCATACAAGTTCTACTACGAAAGCACTACTGCTGTTGTTGCACGGACTGGTCCAACGTGATCAGCAGCTCCAACAGGCATGATTCTCTTTGCAGCAACATGAATCGAGTAGAGTACAATTCTACTGGAAATATGACATTCGGCGCACAGTTGCGCAAGATAAGCTGAACAACTACTGTACCCGAGCTGCCCCGCCGTGTTCATCTATTGCTGTACACTGCAGTAGACTGCGAGAGATGGCACCGGGTGCGATCAGGCTTTCAAAACACACTTAATATCTCTCCCTTTTTGTTGTGCACCCCGATAGGTGCTATCTTCACCGATACCGGTGTGGAAAATACCATTGCATCATTCATTTCGGTTCTGCAGCTTTTTTCAAGGCAACCCCGGTTGGTTGCGATCTCTCCAACGGGTGCTCGAGCTACTCTTATTGGGAAGTTACCCCTCGCCTCTAAATTGGCTTTCTTTGCTTTGGCCATCTCCAAGCTCGAGGCCTTGGCAAAGAACGTCGTAGACACAGTACTACCTTCACCATCAGACCCTCAACGTATTTTCAACGTCGAAAGACACAATGTGTGCGTTCAAGTATGGCGAGGTACGTATTCCCACCACGTGTACGTAGATATATATCCCCGCTTTTTTTCTCCGTTATGCCGCCTTTGGGTGCAGTTTTTGACGGGTGGCTCTGTTCCGGCGGACCTGGTACCTCTAGGGCACACGGTAGCACCTGCTTTTCTGCGGTTCCCCCCCTCCGGAACTCGTTCCCAAGCAGAGTAGAAGCAGACATGAGATGCGCCTGGTGCTTTCTTCTTCCGTCAAGCGAGTGACCTATATTTCCGTTGTTCACGGACAGCTGCTGCGGGACTCGCGGTTGTACCTCACGCAGCATCGTCGTTTGGGAATGGAGTTGAATCAGAGCTGGGACCTGATACCAAGCTACGGAAGTACAACGCTGCCCCTCCCGCCGCTGCCGTCGCCGACGCCGCTGTTGCTGTCGCCGTAACCCGCAGCCGCCGCCGGACCACCCCCTGATGGTGAAGGAGAGGACGGGTTCCTCGGTAAGGCCCTTGCAGCTGGCCTACATGATCTACGGGGGCAGGGAGGCCTTCGAGCGCATGAAGGAGATCCAGGCGGAGATGGAGGCCGAGCACGTCTTCGATAGGTTTGTAGGCGTGTGTCTTGCTTGTTTTCCTAGTTGGAATCGACGGAGCTAACCGACTGACCAACGGAATGACGTCATTCTTTTTGTTGTTGTTGTCTTCGCATTTAGGGCGCGGGTGGGGATCGCTCGACCTCCTCTGAAAATCCAAGAAACGCCTGCATATCTCAGTTTTCCAAAGTCTAACCCCAGTACGAAACTACGATCGCAAATTAACCATCCGCGGCCGTCGCTTGTGTACAATGTTATTGTCAGAGATTGTACCCCTTTGTAATACACTGCAGACTAGCGGTCCGCGATTTTCCAAACGACCCGTCTATCATCGAGATCGGTGTGCAACAAGCAGGAGTTTTGAAGCTGCTGTGCGGTCCAGTTTTTACACGCTTCAAGCACACAGCAACGGTGAATCAGTGCCTGTGATTGCGTGGGGCCGCGAACTTCAGCGCAGCTGTTCCCTCACGTGTCCTACTCGTCGCCATAGTCGATTTGAATGCCTGGGGTCATGTATGCGTAGGTCTAGCCATAAGCAATGGTGCTTGAAGCGTGTCAAAATCGGACCGTACAGCAGCTTCGAAAAATCCTGCTTGTTGCACATCAATCTCGATGATAGAAGGATCGTTTGGAAAATCGCGGGCCGCTAGTCTGCAGTGTATTACAAAGGGCTACAATCTCCGACACTAACATTGTACACAAGCGACGGCGGCGGACGGTTGATGTGCGATCGTAGTTTCATACTGGAGTTAGACCTTGGAAGACTGAGATATGCGGGTGTTCTTGGATTTTTCAGAGGAGGTCCTGCGATCCCCCCCCGCGCCCTTCAAAAAGCGTTCCGATATCTGCTTAGTACCCCAATCTTTCCTCACTGGTGTTGTACCGGCACAAAAAGCACCAACACTTCGTATTGTGTGTGCGTTCGTTGTTGCTGCTGCTGTTGCGGTTGAAATTGCTGCCCCCTTTCGCTGCTGCTGCTGTTCGTTTGTTGCCGTCGCTGGTGGCGGGGGGACAGTGCCTTTATCTTCACCGAACCGGTTTTCAGGACAGCGTTGTTCATTAAGGGGGTGAAGAAGACGAATTTTGATGTTGACGAATTTTGAAAACAATCGCAAGAGCACCAGAAAATTGCACAACAGACACACAAGGCCAGTCGGAAGGCACATCGCGAAAAACAGAAATCGTTGATTCTCGCACAGGGTGGCAGTAGAGGCTGCTCAAAACATACATTCCGCGCGTCTATCTCCGCACGGCTCCTTTGAAATCAAGATTAACATTCACACTATTCTAAATTCAAGTCAAAAGAGCCAAAACGGAAGGCGCCCGAACAAGGTCAGTTTTGAGGGTTAGGTGGCGCTTTCTATTATCATCAGTAGAGGACATCATGAAGGGGCGTCGTGCGTGCTGGCAAGTTCAGGTTTGCCACTGGAGCTGAAGCATCGAAGGTCGCAGCAGCCTCTGAAAACCGTTCGAAATCTGCGCCGGAACCACGCGGCAGCCAACATTTGTCACAGCCGTGCTCGCCGCCACTGACCCCGATCTCCAGAGGGGCGGGTTCACAGAAGTAGCTGATGCCACTAGCTACTGCTGACAACGCTGACACCCTTCCGTTCAGGGGTTTACGGTCTGTGGCGGCGAGCACGGCTGTGACAAATGTTGGCTGCCGCGTGGTTCCGGCGCAGATTTCGAACGGTTTTCAGAGGCTGCTGCGACCTTCGATGCTTCAGCTCCAGTGGCAAACCTGAACTTGCCAGCACGCACGACGCCCCTTCATGATGTCCTCTACTGATGATAATAGAATGCGCCACCTAACCCTGGCGAGAAGGTTGTTTTCTTTCTTTGCATAGGATAAAACTATGGGAAAATAAAAGCCAGCGTCACAACCCAATTTCTTCACCCCCTTCAAACACTCCTTCGTCTTGCTGCCGCTTGCAGGCAACAATAGTCGTGGCTGTCGCCCCCCCTCGTTCATTTTGTTGTCACACACACCGTTCTTTTTTTTGTTGCTCAGGGACGATCGACCGTTTCTCGACCACACCCAGCGCTACCTTCGCTCGGCGGAGAAGATGGCTCGCTTCCACAACAAGTGCAGAGAGATGGGCCTCACAGACCCCCAGGTGTGTTTTTATCATCTCGTAAGGTTGTTAGCTCGTTCATCGCGCGACCTCGCACTAGATAGCGCGTCCGAACGGTATGTGCGTTGTTCGAGGGATTTTATTTTCCTTTCCTAGTTTCTCCCCCTTTGTGTTCGACAATGTAAGCGTATAGATACAAGCACGGAGAGACTTCCTGTTCGAGATAGTACCCCATTCGAAAGCGCTTGCGTTGAAGCCTTTCATATGAGTGGTAGGGGAAACGCTGCTGGACTCCCGGCGTATGGTTTGATTTGCCCGTTGTTTCAACGATTAAGGCGGCACTTGGCGTAGCCACGTAGGCGGGTGTATCGTTGTTGGATGCATGTTGTTGGCTCGCGTCATTACAGAGGGGGGAGCACGCCGCTCGGTCGGTTTGGGTCGGCAGTTTCTAACCGTAGCCGAGTTGCCATTTATGGCACAAGCCAGTCGGGACCGCTGTACCTGCCGCTTTTCGCAGCGCGCCTGCGGTCAATGCGAACAGAGCACAAAACATCATTTGTTGTTTCGACGTTTCCGCACACAACACCGAGGCGACAGCAAGAGCAACAGCACTGTAACACCAGGAACACAAATACAGCATATTCCCATACAACCACGAACACGCACACAAAAGTTCACGGCAAACATCGAAAACAACTACAAACAACAGGAGATAGCCTGGGCGTACGTGGCCATCGACGAGGTGCTCCCCACCGACGTTCACATGGCCATGGTCGTCCCGGCCCTGCAGTACCAGACGTCCCCCGAGCAGCGGGAGGCCTGGCTGCCCCTCGCCACCTCCTTCCGCATCCTGGGTGCCTACGTCCAGACCGAGCTGGGCCACGGGTCGAACGTCCGGGCGCTGGAGACCACGGCTACCTTCGACAGGGTGAGTGAGCGAGCCTGGAGCCTGGAGCCCGGAGTCTGGAGACCACACCTTGTGTGTGTGTGTGTGTGTGTGTGTGTGTTTTTCTTGTTATCTAGAGCATCGGCCGCGCTACGTGAGAGCTGTTGTAATCGGCTGACCGATGAAAAGGAGACGTCAGTTGTGGCGGTGGTGTGTGTGTGTGTGTGTGCCCCCGCCCCCCCCCCCCCCCCCCCCCCCCCCCCCCCCCCCCCCCC